CGAAACGCAGTTGGCACCGTCTGAGTACAAGAGTCGGTTTGTATTTCGGGCGTCGTTGGCGGGTACGAATTGTGAGTAGAGTAGCAAATCACCGACTCAGATGCACTCGAAATGTGCCGGTGACAGCTGCCGGTGACCCAAGGTGTACTCGACGCTGCGACAGCTGCGCCTTGATCAGAGCACGACTTTGACCTGATCAGAGCGACGCGCACGGCGCGGCTCGCGAGACCCATCTGGGACCGAGGTCAACTAGATCAGATAATAGAAGGGGTACCCAAGATCGTTCTCCAATGTGATCTCGACGCACGAAATATGTTTTGTGGCAGCATGGGATGGGTGCCTCGGACTGTGTTTGCATCGATGCGTGACGGCAGCAACTCTTGCAGGACGCGTTTGCCTTCGTTGTAATATCGCACTGGGATTGAATACCTCTGCAGCAGCCTTTTATCAAGGCTAGAAAATGTCGCCCCTTGATTTTATGCCCAATTTGGTATCGCCCATCATCGCGAGCTACTTGAATTGGTTGCTTTTTGCCAGCCGAAAAGTCTTTAACGTTCCTGGCAAGCGTCGCACACATCAATGTAGTATCTTTGTGGTACTCGAACGTTGCATATCGGTACATCGAGCCTAGAAACTTCCTCCTCCTTCTAATACACTCGCTCGCTTGGTCGCGGTTGCGCTGGCGGCGGCACGGGGCTCATCGACCGGTAGCTCGTCTGAGTTTTGAGCAGGACGATGCTTTAGGATATACTAGTACACGGCGATTCGGAGCTCGTGCTCTCGATCACCATTGTCAGATGCGTACGTCTGATTTCGCAATGCGATGACTGCTGCTCCCTATGGATGGTTTTTCAAAGTTGTCGGAAACCGATACTGTACTTTAGTAAGAGGCTTGTTTACTCGTGTCCTCGAGGCGGCAAGTTTTAGACCGGCTTGTGCGAATCAGACTCGTGGATTTTTCATCTCTAGGCCACAGACAATACCCACGGCGTGACTTTGGATCCGGTATCAATGCGCAACATACGGTACCGAGTACCACCTCGTGTCACCAGCACTAAGTTCTTATTTCGCATACCAGCGCAAGCTTAGTCGGTCGGAATCGAATAGTTATTCTGGTGGCTAGCTACTAGTATGACGACCAACATACTATCCAAGATATGAACGATCTTTTCAACTCAGATAGTGCCGTGAATGTCGTGCTTCGGTTGCTGTGATCAAGGCCGCGATCTCTAGCCGATGCAAGAGCGCTTGTTCAATTGACGACCTTCCAACAACATGTTTGCTCCATCTTCCATCCTCTTTTCGCTTGCCGCGCTCTCGAGCGTCACCGACGCAACCTCGCTCCGTGCTGCGGAGAACGGTACTAGCGACCACCCCGAGATGGTTGGCGGTGCCGAAGCGGCAATCGGCAAGCACTAATCAAGGCGCAGCTGCTCACGTCGCAGCGTCGAGTACACCTTGGGTCACCGACACATTTCGAGTGCGTCTGAGTTCACCTGATTGAACTGTACGGTCGTTGCACCACGACCCTTCATCAGATCCGATTATCAGACCTCACACGACCTCGGTGATTTGCTACTCTACTCACAATTCGTACCCGCCAACGACGCCCGAAATACAAACCGACTCTTGTACTCAGACGGTGCCAACTGCGTTTCG